TTTTTTTTTTTATTTTCTTTCCAGTTTTTTAAATAAAAACCACTCTATATAAACATGAAAACCACTCTGTATAAACACCTATATAAACATGAAATTCACTCTATATAACAACTATATAAGATGAAAACCACTATGTCTAACAACTATGTCAACATAAAAACCAATCTGTATATATAGTTATATAAAAATTTGTACAAAAATTATTGAAAACCACTATAAAATTGTTGAAAACAACTATAAATTTATCAAAGACAAAGCCTGACATTATGAAAACAACTCCGTATAAACAACTATATAAACATGAAAACCACTCTGTATAAAACATGAAAACCACTTTATATACACAACTATATAAACATCGAAAATCACTATGAATTCTAACAAGAAAACATCAAAAATGCTGCGAAAAAAAAAGCTATAAAACAACTATAAAGGACACCATCTTCTCTCCAAGAGCATACTCCGTGTAATCATCTTATTCTCGTTATTTGAAACGTTTTGAAAATCACTCTGTATAAACCGCTATATAAACCTTTGTATAAAACAACTATAAAAACATGAAAACCACTCTGTACACACAATTATATTAACATGAAAACCACTATGTATAAACAACAATATAAACATGAAAACCACTCTGTATACACAACTATATAAACATCGAATTAAAATTTCGTATTAAAATCCACAAGTGGTTTTAAATCCACAAGTAGTTTTAAATCTACAACTGCTAGATGGATCACAAAACTTGTAAATGGAAATGTGGTCACTGAGGTTTCTATGTGCCAAAATATATTATTAATCAATTCCATAAATTTTATGTGTAAGATCCAAAAAAACAACATATTCATACAATTACACCAGTATAAAGTACTACTGTGCATATCCATATAACACACTATCTTGGGAATGGTAATTACAGTAATGTATTATTAAAATCACTAATTATCTTGACTCGAAATATATTATCATAATCATTAATTTCAAATATGAAAGCAACTTAAAAAATTACATGTGTTCTACTTAATAAGGTCTACTACCAAAACAAAATTACTAATCCAATTTTTTTTTTATATAATAAATCTAGAAAATTAAACAATAAGAAACATATTCATCTATCTATAAATCAACTATCAAAGTAATTGTCTACTGAAAATACGATACTGAAATCCAGTCACAAATTATGTGAAAATCACTATGTGGCAAGCATATGTGAACAAGCATACTCCAAAATCAACTATAGAAAGAAAAAAAAAACAGTTAAGGAAAAATAATCAAGAGTTGAAGATTAAGGAAATCATAACTTATAAAGTGATACCAAAAAGAGATAAAACTTTGTAATTAATCATAACATAATTAATTAATTATAACATCTTTAATTGAAAAGGCACTAGGGTTTATAATTTTGTACTGGCCCAATTTTCCAATTCAGAGAACAAAAAGAGATAAAATTTTGAAAAATCAATAAATAAATTGATGAACTTACCGACGACAGGTCATTACTAATGGAGTCTTAATCTCTGTTTCCAAATCGCAGAAAATCCTAATTAGCGCACGATTGCTGAAAAAGAAAGACCACATCCGTTGCTTTGGTTTTTTACCACCGCATAGAAATTGCACGATGAGCGGTGCAGAGAGAAGAAGGGGGCGGCTGCAATGGAGAGTGAAGAGATGGCGCGGCGGAGAGAGGTTTGGGAGAAATCGAGAAAAAGAAATAGACGAGAGATGAAATAGGTTGGATGGGTTTGTGATTTGGTGGAGATTATATTATAG